TCCTAGCATTGCCCTGTGAACCAATCCCAGCATCACATCTTTGATCCCAGCATTACACAGCCTGGATCCAGCCACCTCTGAAAAGCCCACCTATAAGTGCATGGGACTTTGTGGGGACATGCAGACCCAAGCCATAACAATCTGTGTTCATAGTAACATTATTCATGATACAAAAGGTGACAGCAATCCAAATGCCCAGCGATGGATGAACAGATAAACACTATGTGGTATAACTCTGTGTAGAACACAATGGGACATCATTCAGCTTTAGAAGAGACATTCTGAAATACACTATAGTATGGACAAACCCTGAGAACATTGTGCAAAGTGAACAAGCAAATCATAAAAAGACAGATCCTGTATGATTCCACTGATACGAGGTACCGAGAGTAGTAAAACTCATAGAGACAGAGAGTGGGATAGTGCTTGCCAGAAATTGGGGAACAGGACAATGGGGAGTTGTTCACAGGGTTGCAAGATAAAAAGAGTTCTGGAGATTGGTTGCACAACAAGGTGAATGTACTTAACATTACTCTGTCGTACACTTAAAAATGGTTAAGATGATGAATCTTATGTTGTATACATTTTTATCACAATTAAAGTAAAAAATGTTTTTCTGGTTTTAAAATTTTTATTTATTTATTTATTTATGGGGGTTTTTTTTCCAAGACAGGGTTCCACTATGCAGTTCAGGCTGGCTTTGAACTCACAGCAATCCTCCTGCTTCACCCTGAGTGCTGGGATTACCAGGTGTGCACCACCATGCTTGGCTTAAAAATAGAAAAAAAAAAATTAAGACAAAGTTTAGTGTGGCTTTATTATTTCATACTTTACAAACTGTATCACATAAATGACCCCAGCTTTGATCTCCATTATAACTTAGTGAGGGAACAGGTTAGGTATTACTATTTCCATGTTAGGGGCGGGGAGATCCTCTTGGAAGGCTGTTTGACACTTTCATAGCTTAGGGAGAGGAGTGGCTACCCAGTGCAATCTCAGTCTGTGTCGGCATCCTTGTGATGAAATGACTTGTCCTTTCTGATCCTTATCGGCTCCATGGCCTGGCCACCTGTGCCCTGTGCTCCGCATTGCCATCTCCTTATTTCTGCATAAGATGTCTTGCAGGACCCCAGTAAGCTCCCTCCATCACTCACACTTCTAACTTTGGAGTCTCTCTCAGGGACCAGAGATTCTCCTGGATGCCCTCTCAGGACTCCACAGAAAACTCAGAGTTGCTGTGTGGGCTCCCTTAGCAAGGTGAAAAGAATTTAACTGTCACAGTAGGCTGAGTTCTGACAAATGCATACACCTCTGTAACCCACATCCTGTCAAGCTACAGAGCCAGACGATACTCTCCACCTGAAGCAGCTGCTGTTTTGATCTCTCTTTCTCTCTCTCTCTCTCCTCTTTCTTTCTTTCCTTCTTTCTTTCTTTGAGACAACGTCTCACTGTGTAGTTCAGGCTGGCCTTGAACTCACTATGTAGTCCAGGTTGGCTTGGAACTCACAGAGATTCTCTTGCCTTAGCCTCCTGAGTGCTGGGACTACAGCCATCCACCACCACACTTGGCAACTGTTTTGATATTTTACTCTGTGAGAAATTTTAATTGCAGTACCGAGAATTGAACCCAGGACCCTCATGCATGGTAGAGCTCTACCAGTAAGCTATATTCCCAGTCTTTAAAAAATTTAATTTAATTTTTTTCTTTTGCGATAGGATCTCCCTATATTGTTCAGGCTGGCCTTGAACTTTTGATGCTCCTGCCTCAGTCCCCTGTGTAGCTGAGTAGTGAGGTGTGTGTGTGCAGATTTTAATTCTTTTTTAGGGGGCTGGGGACTGGGCGGAACTGTGGGAAGGATGGCTTTTTGCTAAGTATTCTTCCCAAGCTTTTGTTTATGCAGGGACCTGGGCCTGTTAAACAGGGGAGGAGAGAAATGACCCAACAACAAAGAAATAACTTCCTTTGTTTCTACTTCCTTTTTAGCTAAAGGTTCCCTTTCCATGGAACAGTGGAGGCTGTGGCCTTGGTCCCGTTTGAGAGAGAGAAATGGATAGTGACATACTAAAGAAAGGGATACCACCGACATACCCACATAGATTTCTTATCTCAACCCTCCATATCTCCACTGTTGGTGCTTTTTCCAAGCCCTAATTATTGGAATTTCTAAGTCTCTAACCTCCATTTGTTTCAATTTAAAAAACTCTGACCTCTGACTTTTGATCCAATTAATAAATTCACTGAGGGCCGGGGATTTAGCTCAGTAGTACCGCACCTGCCTCACAAGCGCAAGGTCCTGAGTTTGATCCCCAATACTGGAAAATAAATAAATAAATTCATGGAACAGATAATAGGAGGTTGTGCTAGGCCATAAGATGGTAAAACATTAACATAGTATCCAGTCCATCCTTGAGTTATGGTTTGGTGGGGAAGATCAACATACTTGCAGCTAATTAATATCCACCCTAAATCAAATCTTCCCCCTGAGTTCTCTTTCTTGGTGACTGGAACCAAGTGCCCACTTACAACTCCAAAACCCTGTAAGCCTTCCTCCTCCTCCTCTCACTGCTCCACAAACTGAACCAACCAGTCACCAAGCCTATGGTCTCTACCGTGGTTCTCAGCTACATCTCTCCTCTCCACCTTTCTTGCCATGATCCTCCTCTGGACCATGACCATCTAGCCACGATAGCATCTGTCTCAAATGCTAATCTGACAGGTCAATTCCCTTGATTCCCACTATCTACAGGACAGTGTCTAAATTCTGAACATCACCAACAAGGTTCTCAACAATCCCACCCTGCCCACCTCCAGCCTTAGCTCCTGCTGCTGCAGCCACACCTTTGCCATGGCTCCTCAGGCCTCACACTGTTCTGCATCACCTTTCTCCTTGCTTCCTCTAGGCACTGTTTATTTAGAACACCTCCCTCTCGGTCCCCAGCCATGACATAGACACAAATAAACTAGTGTCTCATCTCTGGTACCAGGGCTGTGCTTTTTTTTTCTTTTGGGACAGGGTCTTGCTATGCACTTCAGACAGGCCTTGGACTCAGTATGTAGCCCTGGCTGGCCTTGAACTCACAGCAATCCTTCTACCTCAGCCTCCTGAGTACTGTGATCACAGGTGTGAGCCACCACGCCTGGCTCAGGATTGCATTTCTATGGTAACCTGTGCCCTCCTTTCATTGTGTATAGCTGCCTGTCTCTCTCACAGCTCTGACAGTTCCTTGGAGGTGAGGGCCAAGCCTTACTCATCTCTGTGTCCTCAGTGCCTAGAACAGAGTAGGGGCACAACATAGGCTAGGCGCTGTCCTAAGCCCCTTTCACAGACCCGTTGCATTCTTGTGACATTCTAGAGGAAGGTGTTACTACCGTGTCCATGTCACAGTTGAGGACACTGAGACCAAGCAGCTTTTCCAAGACACACCAATCAGGAAGTAGCAGAAATGAGATTTAAACTCAGGCAATCAGACTCTATGTGTGGCTCTGAATCACTGTGCTCAACTGTGCCTCAATTTCCATGTGTTTACTGAATGAGTAATGACCCCATTTCACCTCCCTGTCTCAATATGTGCACAACCAAATTAAGAAATTTTCTCCCCAATAGCTTCTTATCCCCATATCTTCCTCCAGCACTCCTCCAGGGTCTCAGTGAAGCCTGCAGTCTTTGACTTTCACCTCTCTTCTCTCCCTTCCTCACTTTATTCATCCCATCACATATTTGTTTTGTTTTGCCTTAGAAATATCAGATTAGCTCCTTCCCCTCCATTCTCAATTGCTTTCATCCTAGTCTGGCTTTTCCCTCACACCAGGTGACCACAGCAGCTTCCTGCCTTCACTACATTCCTCCTTTGGGACTTCAAGATTACATGTATTTTTAAATTTAACCTATAACCCGTGAGTGAGATACTATTATTTACATTTTAAAGGTGAGGAACTGAATGACAGAGCACAGGTTCAAAAGTGTTGTCTGACTCTGAGGACTCTGCCTGATCCAGAGACTGGGGACCTTGGGCAAGTCACTTAACCTCCCAGAGTCTCAGATTCCTCATTCATAAAATGTAGAGAATAAATAACAGTAATCACCTCATAGTGATAGCAACAGGGATAACACTTAGAATCCTGCTGCACAGTAAGCTTTCAGTGATAATCAGCAATTAAAACTCATAATCCCCACCCTGAAGGTCGTAGCATATTTTAAATTGTCTAATCACTCTGGGAAAGTTCTTGAATCATGATTGAGAGGAAGTTACTATATCTGGCCTCCTTTTTACCCCTCAAAACTATTCTCTCCTGGGAAACACCATAGGCTGTTTTTAAAAAATTACCTGAACAGTCATTTGCAAAATGTGCTGCAAAAGAAAATATACCCTATCTGGTGGGTAGAGCATAGAATTTGTGCCTCTGCCCTGTCCAGGTATGCAACCACGGGCGATCTTGAAACCTCTCCGAATTTATTTTATAACCTTCAAAGTGGGATAATACCATCCCCACAAGAGTACTGAGATGATGAATAACAGCCTTTAGTACATTGCAAGACCTAGATAAAGGAGTTACGTGGCCTTATCACGATCAGATAATGTGACAGGATGGTTTATTGATAAATGGAGGATGAGATGGATTTATATATCACATATTGTCAAAATCAAGTATTAGAAGCAAAGGAAAGGTAAAGGGATTATACAAATCTGGTACAGCTCCAGCTTTCCAAAACCCGCCTGCCCTCCTCGCTCAAGCCTGAGCAGCAAGGCAGAGTCCCGGCCCAGTCCCGCGTGACGCCTCGTCTAGGCCCCGCCCACGGGGCGGAGCCGAGCAGGGCACGTCCGCATGGTTGCGGAAGTGGAGCAAAGAATTTCGTTTGTGATTGGCTGCGGCCGAGGGCCCAGAGGGCGGGGTCAGGTCGACGGACACGCCGAGAGGAGGCTGCCGCTGGGCCGGCGCCGGAGTCCAGGATTCGGTCCGAGGTGCTGACCTAACGCTGGACCAGCAGCCGTCCGGGCACCCTGGCCTGAGCGCACGCCCGCCGCTCTGGGTCCTCCCGGCCGAGACGCAGGTGGCCAGTGAGTGAGCAGAGGAAAGCCAGGAGGGCGCGAGCGCCCTGTGCACAGAGCGGCGGAGGCGGCCGGGGGCCCGGACGCCATGTCCATGGAGGACCCCTTCTTTGTGGTGAAGGGGTGAGTGTTGGTCGAGGGCTCCACTGGAGGAGGGAGTGGCGTTGCTGGCTGCAGTCATCTCCGCGGTCCCCTCCCTGTAGGGGGGAGGGGAGGCAAGTTGAGGTTGGGAGAGGGCTTAGCCCTGAGGGCCTTGACCAAGCGCCCAGAGACACCCTCTCCCTGTCCTACCTGAAGTGTGAAGCCGGGGCCTCGCACTGAGCCCCCCGGCCGAGGTCCCCTCTCAGCCTGAGAGGTGCGGTACAACTTCCGTGGAGGTCGAGGGGTTCAGCAGCTTTGCAGGTGGGGAAGGAGGACTGGGGCTGGCCTCGAGCACAGGACCTTGCCTCGAAGGAGGCAAAACAGCATCTGGGCAGGAAAAGGGAAATGACCCTCTTGAGCTTTGTAGTTGGCGTGGACGGGGGTGAGCTCCATTGTCCAAGAGTTTGGAGAGCTCGCCCGCAGACTGGTGAGACCACAACATGCCCAGAGGCGTCTGAGCTCGTTTGCAGGGAGGCGGGCAGGGGCGGGTGTTGATCTGGGAGGCTGGGGAGCTGGGCGCCGGAGGACAGCTCGAGTCTGTGCAGTGGGGGGAGTTACTGACTAACGTGAGGGGAGGAAAGCAGTCCTTCTTGCTCGGTGCTGATGTTGGAAGGAAAACAAAATGAAACCAGCCAAAGTAAACTTTGCCCCGCGTTCTGTGAACAACTGGGATTTTCCCACAGTTCCAAAGGAAATGGCTTTCTTTTTAACTCCTTGATTTCGTACAGGTTTTTTTTGACAGGTTTCCCCCACTACTAACTCTGCCTTTCAGAATTGGGAGCTGTCCTGACTCCATCTTTGATTGACAAATTGGAGATGCGTAGAAACTTCAGTTGCACTTTGTTGTATTAGCTTCGTAGTCATTAAACTAATTGCAAGAAAGGTCAATTCTGATGTTGTAATGTATTTCGGATAACTTGCCGGCCGTATTTTTTTTTAATGTCAAACAAACGTTAAAAATCAGAGAACTGCCAAGTTCCCAGAGGATGAGTACTAATAACCATAAAGTGTTCCTTAACTTTCCACTAGTTGCTATTCTATAGTGGTAAAAGCTGATGAATTGTATGGGTGTTTGTCTTTGTATTTAAGGGTTCCCCAAAATTGTTTTGTTTTGTTTTTGGTACTGGGGATCGAAATCGGAACCTTGCGCTTTTGAGGCAGGCTCCGGAACCACTGAGCTAAATCCCCGGCCCAAACCTCCTTTTTCTCGCGGGGGAACCACTGGGCTAAATCCCCGGCCCCCAGAAATTTTAAAGGTACTTCAGATGAAATATTTTGTTATCCATGAAAATACATATGACAACATTTCCCTAAAATTTTTTTTCACCTTACTGTAATTTAGATGAGAAGTGGCAAGTTGTAGATTTACTAATAATATTGGCTATCTACCTGGAAACTGTATTATTTATTAGAATTGATTTAGGGATTAATGTTTAAAATTTAAAGTTGTGTATATTTTCTTCTTGAATTAATTTTTTTGGGGACAGTTTTGCTATGTAGTTCAGACTGGACTTGAACTTACCATGTATCCCAGTCTGGCCTCAAACTTCCAGTGATCCTCCTGCCTCAGCCTCCCCTAAGTGCTGGGATCACACTTGTGTACCATCCAGCCCAACTTGAATGGAAATTCTTAATGTTTAGATATTATTTTTGTTTGTTTGTTTGTTTTTTGGTACCGGGGATCGAACTCAGGTCCTTGTGCTTGCGCAGCAGGCGGGGAAACCACTGAGCCAAATCCCCAGCCCTCTGAATGTTTAGATTATAGAGGTTATCTCCTCATTGGAGATCAGAGATAACTAGAAATTTTTTGTATTTTCTGCTGTGGAAAGGTAAAAGTTAGCTACATGGATGTTTATGTGGTGGCACATTTGGAGAACCATAGACTTTTTTCAAGAAAGTATTGAAAATGCATAACACAACATTGGGAAATTAAAGATGCCTAAATAATGGCCCTTGTAGTAGACAGTTCTAGTCTAATCTGAGAAAGAAACCACTCCGAAATTAAATAGAAAATTTATTATTCCATGTAGTGGATGCCTGTTGCCTACAGAATACAGTACAGAGGCTTCATGACCACCCTCATGCAGCCCTTCAGCCCCGACTCAGTCAGCCCAAGTGCTCCAGCAGGGCTGGACTCAGTTCAGTGACTGTGCTCTATTCCACATGCACCCGCGCTGCCTGACTCACCCACTCAGTGCAGGATTCAGTGCGCATCTCCACTGCCTCCAGGGAGGGCTGCTCTTGGCACAGTAACATAGTATTGCCCCCTTTCTCCTGCTGTCTTTCCTCATTAGACTGTAAGTTGTGAAGGTTGGGGCTGTTTGCTTTTCCTGTATTTCCAGATTGGCACCTTGAATATACAGTGTAAATGTTGAATGCTTACTCTGTGGTTATTGGCAGCAGTGGTGATGGTGATGGTAAAGGAGTGGTGTTTCCTGTGGGAGACCACTACCAGCAAAGGCTATGAGGGGGCATTTTGTAGATATCATGGCGGGGAGCAGCCCGATGAGTGGGCAATTTGTTAGGAGAAGACAGACTCACAGCCAACATTTAAAGGATGCATCTCCTGGGCCAGGCATTGTGTGCAAAGAAAAGTACTTTATATGGATTTAAACCTTAATTAGGACAGCCAGATGATGTGAATATTAACCGCTAAAGAAATCAAAAGCTAGGGTTAATTTACTTGCCCAGGATCACACAGCTAACAGGTGAACCTACGATTCACATTTGAACAGCCTAATTTCACTTATACTGTTAGTATTCACAGTACAGGTAGAATGGGGTTAAGTTCTGTTGGCTGAAAGAGAATCATTGTGAGGAAAATTTTAAAGGAGAGCAGGTAGAAAGCTGTTGGAATTTAAACGTGCAGGGTTTAAAGTTTTTTGTGAGGTTTTGACATTGTCAGTGCCTTGTTTGGAGCAGAGTTCCAGAACAGCAGTTACTTTTTAATCCTTATGAGGTAGGCACGGTTATTATCACTATTTCATAATGAAGAAAGTTACACTTCGTTAAAAACAAAAAAACAAACCTCTACACATTTATAAGCATTTAAGTTGAAAGGCCAGGATTTACGTATATATATTTCTATTATTAATAAGTTTAGAACTTGGGATCTATCTTATATATTATTTTATAATCTTTTTGTCTGTATTTTCTTATATCCTTAAACTGTCTTTTGGGGGCTTCTAATTATTGTATTTTGACATGTAACTAATTTATATACTGCTATGGACATTTACACTACATAGAGTTTTTCACTATTACAGTTAAAACAGTGGTAAGCTACTTGTCATAGGTCTGTATTGCTGCTTGTGATTTTCATAGCCTATATTTCTGTTGCATAATTACTAATTTAGAGGACATGCATCCAAAGCTTTTGATGCATATTACCAAATTGCGCTATAGAATATATCCTCCCATTCCTCTCTGAGTGTTTAAGGGGCTCAATTCCCTTAATTCCTTGCAAGTCTAGGGATTCTCATTTTAAGAAACTTTTACTGGGCCAGGGATTTAGCTCAGTGGTTCCGCTCCTGCCTCGCAGGCACAAGGACCTGAGTTCGATCCCCAGTACCAAAAAAAAGAAAGAAACTTGTACTAACTTGTTGGGTGGAAAGTACCATATTTGAATCCTTTCCATCTTTGTATTTAGTAGGGTCTTAGTGTTTAATGAACGAACCATTTTGAGTTTTTGGTCATAGAGTCTTTTTCCCTCTCTAATTAGCAAGCTTTTAGAATTAGCCTTTTAGAAATTGCAATTTCTACTAAAACCACTGGAAAACATATTTTTCATGTTCAGATATGAAAATACAGTCATGAGTCACTTAATGATGGGGTTTATGTTGTAAGAAATGTCTTATTAGGCAATTTTGTTGTGTGACTTCACAGATGAAAACTAAGATGGCTGCGACATCACCAGGCCATAATCTTATGGTACCGTTATTGCATATGCCATCCGTTGTTGTTGACTGAAACAGCATATGTTGTATATGACTTGGTATTGGTACCAAGTTAGCCTCCTAAGTTGTTAAAAGGGCATGGGTAATATTTTGATATTTGCTGCTTTGGAGGTTTGGTCTACCTGGCAGGTAGTTTCATTTTCAGGTTCTTGGATCTAAATCTATGTTGAAATAATGAAGTCAGTAAGCAGATAAGCAAGATGATATGTGGTATGCTGTATTCTCTTAATACTTGTCTATATTATCTAGGATTGTCTAGGATTATGAGCTTCACAAAGACAAGCATCATGCATTTTACTCACTGTTGAGAAACTGGCTTTTGGTAAGTTCATGATAAAGAAATTAACCCTTGTTTACAAGAACAATATTGGCCCAGTAAAATCAAATTAAATCTCATTTAGTGCATTTAAAAAATTAGAACTGGGTGCTTAATTTTAAAAGCAACCTGCAAGCATTTATTAAAGTTTGTGACTAATATTTAGCACCTGAAATTGTAGTCTGGTTTGGAGAACACTGTGCAAAAATGTGAAAGAGTGTTTGTGAAAGATATTTGTGTATGAGATTTTGGGATAATGTTGAAAAAAGGAAGGTCTGTAGTAGGAGTGTTGGTCAAGGATACTTCAGTAATGCAAGCAGGGCCTTAAAGAAGTGTCTGTCTTTTCATTTGCAGAGGTGTAAGGATTCTTCCAGGCTAAGGAGGCAGCTGAGCATAAGGCCAGAACCAGGAATGAGAAAGGAGAGGACGGAAAGACTTGGCAACTAAAATATAATTTGTTTAGTGAAAATCAGGTTGAATATTTAAAGTCAGGCAGTTTGAAGTGGGAGGAGGTGTGGAGGGGTTGGAATAACTGCCTGAGGAGTTTAAATTTAATCTGGTTCCTATGGTAAATTTTTAATCAGAAGGCAATTTTTTAACCAGCAATTATTATTCAGTCATTTATAGTAATCTTTCAGGGGCTCAAACCCAGATCTTCTGATTTTACAAAGCAGACAAATTTGTCTGGAGGCTTTGCAAAAATGGGATTA